AACTCCTAATCATATAATATTGCTTAAAATTGTCCATAAGACTTCAACAGGTCTATATATATATATATATATATATATATATATATATATATATATATATATATATATATATATATATGTATTATTTAGAGTACGAGTTTCTTACTGTATCAGAGATACAGGGCGGGGCTTGAGGCGAGAGCGATAGCTCGAGCCGGGCCCCGCCCTGTATCTCTGATACAGTAAGAAACGAGTATTCTAAATGACTTGTGACATGACCTTTCTAAGGACCTCACTAATTTACATGCGTATTCGGGTGTATACCTCCCAACCAATCAGATGATTTTGCAGAAAGTTGATTTAGTATCCCATTTTAAGCATTCGCAACTGAAATGCCGAGTGAGATGGACGTGCAGGTATCTATCATTTTAAAATTATTTATTCAAGGGATGCATAAATGAATTTGTTTTCCAAAAATTTTATTTAGATTTGATTGCGCAGGGTTTTTTTTTCTCTAATATGCAGCTCTTGCTGACATTTTTTTCAGTTTAAGCTGCGATTTAATGCAAACATTTTGATGTATAAGAATCATGTGGGAATATTTTTGAAACAAAAATGCTTTGGGAGATCGTAGATTCTGAGAGAAATGTCCGACAATGTCCTCCACCGGTCGTCATATACAAAATCGAAATAAACAGATGAAAGGAAAAGAGGGGGGGATATTTTACCTTCACGTTTTCGTTAAAATGTAGAGTAACCAAACGGGGATACAGCACTCACTGGTGCCCCCATCCCATCTTTGAGTATTTTTTTTCTTCTAAGCTTGTATACATACGGTTTTTAATTCATCAACAAGTAACGAAATGACGCACATAGGTGTTGGTTGATTATAAATCTACCCCCACGGAATACGATTTTCCGTTTTGTTTTTTTTTTTTTTGGGGGGGGGGGGGGGGCAAAGTAATAATTTGTGAACTGCCCCACTCCCTCCTTTCTAAAATTTTTGAATCCGACAATAATACCTTTATGTTGTAAAATTTTATTTTTAATTCACCTCAAATTTTGAGTAAATACTAACAGTTCTATGGCGAATTGAACGATTGGTATGTCTGTATACGGATACAGCTTTCCGTCATCGCTAAAAATAAACCGTATTGTATCGTTGATATTTTGCAGATACAGTACAGTTTCTGCTCATTTGCATAAAAAACGCCCACAAAAAGTGTTCTGTATCGCAGTTACAGTATGCTTGACTTCAAAGGAAAACTCGCCGGGTCATGTCACAATACATATATATATATATATATATATATATATATATATATATATATATATATATATATATATATATATATATATATATATATTTCACAAACATTTCTTATTTTTGTCTCTGTGATAACTCTTTGAAACTAAGCGAAATTAATTTCTTGATAAATCTGCCGGAATGTAGATTAGGCAGGTCGAAAGGTCAGGAGCTAGGGAGTCCTAATATGCATACAAATTTCGTGCGCATCTGTCTCTGTGTCTGACGCTAAGAATGAAAATATGCATGAAAATCTCGTGCAGCTGCCTTTGTGTTTGACGTAAGTGGGCGAGTGATTTGGAAATTGGCAAGGGACTCGTGTTATATAAATCTATGTCTACAATTTTAAAATAAATCTACAATTTAATTTAACAATGAAATGGAAATATATATATATAATATATATATATATATATATATATATATATATATATATATATATATATATATATATATATATATATATATATATATATATATATATATATATATATATATATATATATATATATATATATATATATATATCACAGATGTTTAGGAAACAAGTATTGTCTTTTTGCAATTAGGGCTTGTTAGAAAAAAAACAGAAGTCTCTGTCGAGACTGAAGCTCTACTGGTTTGTACTTATAATAAGGGAAAAGAAAAATATTACTTGGGACTGAAAACTTTACAAAAGCAATAAATAGAATAATGATCCTTGATAAAATCTCTTTTTGTCAAACTTAACAAACTTTAACCTTGGACATAACTTTTGAACAGGTAGAACTAAAGCTTTCGTATTTCACAGGTGTATTCCTTGTAACAAGACCTTCTTTTAGATACAAGACCTTCTTTTAGATACCATTTTGACTTTTGACCTTGACCCTGGACTTTGACTTGCCAAATTATATTATAATTAGACTAAGACTATACTTGGAGTAGTATTTTTAAGTATTTCACAGAAATATCTATTTTTAGTAACCACAGCAACACCGTTCATTGAAATCAAAAACTGGTATATAGAATTATGTATCTTAGTGTAGTCTACTTGTGTGCCAAATTATACTGAAATCAGACCAAAATTGTAGGAGGAGTAGCATTTTAAATGTATTTCATAGAAATTTCTGTTATTAAGCATGGCAACATTGTTCATCAAAATCAAAAGCCGATATACTGAATAATGTATGTACAATGAAGCGCATTGAAGTGGTAAAAGGAGTTTTCCACTTAAGTATAGTAGCGTGGTCCCTTTTTTGCCCTTATTTTACAGAATATACATAAGGATACGGTATTATTTTTTAGTTTCATTGTGTATAACAAAGTATTTCTAATTAACATTTTGTACAGTCATTATTAATAACTTGGAATATCAAGAAATACAAGCCGATTTTCAACACCTACTGAACACACAAATTCCGGAACATTTTCTTTCGAACAGAGTGCGGTTCCTTGATATTATATACAAATGGGCGGGGGCATTTAAATTAGGTATTATATGTAAGGGAAGACAACGATGAGTTGTAGCGTGAGATAAGAAATAATAAACAATATACGATGGGGATAAATAATTTTCAATAAGCTTGAATTTTATTTTGCATCATTCGTATTCTTCTGAACTTGGGGTGGGTGGGAGTCATTTTTTTAGTTCAGTTTTGAAAATCCCCTAATCACATTATTTTTTTAATCTATCATTGTTGAATAAAATGTCAAGATATTTTAACCACTTATGTATATTATTTTTTTTTTATTTGATAGTTTAAGAAGCACAAGCCATCGCATAATAATTAACGGCAAACACACAGTGACACAGGGGGTGCTGAGAAAACACACACACACACACACCCACACACACACACACACACACAAGAAACCTGAATTTGATAAAGGAAAAAGAGGAAACCCTTCTCCAAACTTGAAAAAAGAAATTATTACGTCTTTGGTATTAGTATATTTAACTATTTTTTGCTTTTTTGTTTCTTTTTCGCAAGAAATTGATTAAATGTGTATTTATATACATCTATCCGTATATATTTACATTTCCAATGTCTTTGTCCGAGATAAAATTACCAATTGTAAATGTAATTTATTTCCTCATATTTACATTTCCAATGTCTTTGTCCGAGATAAAATTACCAAATGTAAATGTACTTTATTTCTCCATCAATGTATTGGCGCGGTTCCAAAAACACCACGTGCAGGGCGGGACAAACAGCTAGACAGAAGCAGGGCTTGGAGCACATGGATTGGCAGAATCAAAGCATGTAAATATAAGGAATAACTGTCAGATTTTTCAATTTCATGAAGATGATCAATCGATTGGCTTGCGTGATAATTTTATGCATAAACGCCTTCGGCGTTTATGCAAATTATCACGCAAGCCAATCGATTGATCACTTCATGAAATCGAAAAATAAGACAGTTATTCCTTAAATGAATGTCTTGGCGCGGTTCCAAAAAAAAACACGTGCAGGGCGGGACAACACCTAGAGAGAAGCAGGCTTGGAGCCCGTGGATTGGCGGAATCAAAGCATGTAAATATAAGGAATAACTGTCAGATTTTTCGAATTCATGAAGATGATCAATGGATTGGCTTGTGTGATAATTTTATGCATAAACTCCTTCGGCGTTTATGCAAATTATCACACAAGCCAATCCATTGATCATTTCATGAATTCGAAAAATAAGACAGTTATTCCTTAAATACATTAATTCGTGTGCTGTTCGTAGTGAACAGGAAAGTTGGGAATACGTGCATGAAAATTAAAAGATGTCCCGGAAAATCGCCAAAGTTTTACATTAGTGATATTCATCGAAGTCTATAGGGAACCTTTTCTGAATTTTAAAAAATGAAAGCTGGTGTCTGCATTTTTTCAAATACGAGCTACATGTGTCGCTACCTACAGAGAACACGCTTTCCGAATGTATTCACCTGTGGCGGTATGGAATCACGTGACATATTATCTATTCTAAACAGATTCAAAATCATGATACTTTTACGTGGAAAACATAGAGCGCAAGGTTGTTCAACAAAGATATTTACACAAAATCTGTATAAATATAATATACACATTATATTTTAATTTCCACTTTAAACAAATCTGCGCTCGATGTTTACGAAAGCTGTGAAGTGGGTACCTGTCACATATTTCTTTTCATATTCATGAAAATCAAAGGACCCCGCCTTCAAAACACAGTTTGGCGTATTGCTATTTGCAATTATATGATATTTTTTAAACGTTGGCGCATATACTACAAACATAAGAGAATAATATAATTTACTTTTTAAGTGTCTTAATAAAAGTTTAAAATTTGACGAGTAACCAGGGACCACAGATAATGGCTTATTGAGACAACTTCTTTTCCGTTTGACTGGAACGTTTTGAGCTATCTTTAGAATAATGCTTGTCATACAATGACTAGCCCATTTCTTTAGAAAGGAAAAATCAGTCAAATGGTTCATTCAAATACCCGTAGAACAGGTATTCCATAAATATAGTAGCCAATCAAATTGACGGTCTGCATAAACACCGAATAAGCACGTGTTCGACCAATACATGTATTATGGTAACTCCAATAAACATGATCAATTCATAATTATGGACAAATTCGTTGCAATAAATGTTGTACAGAAGCGAGGACTCTCTAACTCTCTTATATAACTTTAAAAATCTCCATTTTGGTGTAGCTCATGTTGTAGAGCTACAACATTAAAAAAAATTTTTAAAAGTTCATTTCATTCAAAATATACAGCGTGCACGTGACCGATCGCGATCAGTGATTGGTTGGTATAGGTGTATGTGGCATAATTGTCTGTGGCGGTATTCCAGATACACCGTGTGGCGACTTTGAGTCCTTGACCTTTGTTTTCAACAATTGTCACAGAACTTACAGTCTTGTAACGAGGAATTTCCAAGTCTTTGATTTTCTTGTTTATGACCGTTGCCAGATCTTTTGCAAGGAGTTTACTTCGTACAGAATCGTATTTTACTAGTTGCAGTCTGGAATCAAATATTTCCTGAATGATTTTTTCAGCGTTTTTAGGTATAAATATTTTACTGTCCTCCGGTTCCAACTTGTACGTGTTTTCCAGACGAACTTGGGGTTTGCTGGAAGCAGCCGCTTGGCTACTCTTCTTCTTAGCAAGACGTTGCCATGCGCGTGTAGCGGCGACTATACGGAAGAAGGTAATACCGGAGCGCCTTGGAGCCGGGGGCTCAGACTTCTTAGACTGGGAGCTGGTGGACAGGGTCCTACTTCTACGACTGTTGCTCCCTTCATCCTGTTTATTTTTTACCTGCAAGTTATATAGGTTACTTACATCAGAGAAATTTCATGCAGTTGCAAAACATAGCTGCAGATCTGTAACTCTCCGAAAAAAATATATTGATAGACTGGAGAGCTACAGAGCCACCCATTGAAAAACCTGTATATTGCTCACAAAAGAGTGCGCTTGGTTCTGGATTAATTCCTCCAAATTCTTACCTCAATTGCAAAATAGGGATGATTTTTAAAAATTCCTTTCTCCTCTATCAAGTTCTCTCGTAGTTGACATCTGAACGAAGCATATTGGACCGAATTATCTTTCAAACCAAATTGGCAGTTTAAATAAGCGAAATGTTCGATGATTACAATATCAGGGTCAGGAGGACTATTAACAACAATTATGAGGAATGTTTGGTAATGAAAGCAGCGAAAGAATATGTTAGGAACACATGGTTAGTAATAATTTGAGATCACAGTTTAAACAACATGGAGAAATAAATCGAGAACCGAGCGCACTTTTTTGTGCGCAATAAATATACAGTTTTTTTCAAATGGGTGGCTCTGTAGCTCTCCGGTCTATCAATATATTTTTTTCGGAGAGCTACAGATCTGCAGCTATTGCAAAACAGTGAATTTACATTCTAGATCAGTAGTTTTCGTTTTCTTATTGCGAGAGTTAGATTGTAAAAACACTAATCATTATTTGTTCGAATTCTAATTAAATGCCGGTATAATAACAAGAGGCCCAGGGGCCACAGCGCTCAACTGAGCACATTGGCTAGGAAAAAGAACATATCAGATCAGAACTGAAAGTTTACTAGGGGGGGGGGGGGGCTTGAATTTTAACCCCCCAGGGGTTCATGATTTGAACAAACTAGAATCTACACTACCTGAAGATGATTCCATATTAATATCACTAGTCATAGCTTTGAAGTACTTGAAAAGAAGATTTTAAAAGGTTTCCCTATAAATCCCTATGTAAAACTTGGGTCGGCCATTTTGGCTCCAACCTAGCCCCGGGGGTCATGATTTGAACAAACTTGAATGTACACAATCTGACGATGATTCCACATGAGTTTCATCTCTCCTGGCCCAGTGGTTCTTGAGAAGAAGATTTTTAAAGATTTTTCCTATATATTGCTATGTAAAACTTGGGTCGGCCATTTTGGCCCCACCCTAGCCCCGGGGGTCATGATTTGAACAAACTTGAATCTACACTACCTGAGGATGATTCCACATGAGTTTCATCTCTCCTGGCCCAGTGGTTCTTGAGAAGAAGATTTTTAACGATTTTTCCTATATATTGCTATGTAAAACTTGGGTCGGCCATTTTGGCCCCACCCTAGCCCCGGGGGTCATGATTTGAACAAACTTGAATCTACACTACCTGAGGATGATTCCACATGAGTTTCATCTCTCCTGGCCCAGTGGTTCTTGAGAAGAAGATTTTTAAAGATTTTTCCTATATCTTCCTATGTAAAACTTGGGTCGGCCATTTTGGCCCCACCCTAGCCCCGGGGGTCATGATTTGAACAAACTTGAATCTACACTACCTGAGGATGATTCCACATGAGTTTCATCTTTCCTGGCCCAGTGGTTCTTGAGAAGAAGATTTTTTAAAAATGCCATTTATTTTTCTCTATTTCATAATTATCTCCCCTTGGAAAAGGGCGTGGCCCTTCATTTGAACAAACTTGAATCCCCTTTACCCAAGGATGCTTTGTGGCACGTTTGGTTGAAATTGGCCCAGTGGTTCTTGAGAAGAAATTGAAAATGTGAAAAGTTTACAACAACGACGACGACGACAACGACGACAACGACAGACAACGGACAAATTGTGATCAGAAAAGCTCACTTGAGCCTTTGGCTCAGGTGAGCTAAAAATTTTAAAAGAGGATGAAAATTCAAGGAACTGCAATAAGTAATAAATACTTAATAATTTCACGGATCTGAATATGATCGATTTATACACGTTAAATAAAAAGGGTGTTCAAAGAATAGTTCGTGTAAGTTCCTGTCCTACATAAAACCCCTGCGTTCTTGGTGGTCCGGATATTCTGGTAGCGAGGCATTAACGTATAGTGTTGATTTGTTTACATTTTGTTTTTAACAAATTTGTTCTCGAACTGTATGGTTTGCCCTATATTTTGTAGACAAAACATTTTGATAAATTTCGCGTTCCAGGTGTTCGATCAAAAAGAAATAGTACATTAGAGGAAAACTAAATGGGAATGTATTTACATCTGATTTTACAAGAAAATTAAGATCACGTATCTGAGGATGCGTATGTTTAATTTTAAGAATTAATTCGATTTAATAAATTTACGTCTAGTTGAGTGGAAAAAAAACCTCATACACGTACATAAAACTTCATTTGAAACTTTTATTTTGATTCCATTGTTTCAAAAAAAAGGGGGGAGGGATTTTTATCATAAACAAAAATCAGAAATATATCGGTCCCCTTTCCATTTATAATATACATGTATACTAGTATAAAGAGAAAGGTATACCACTTAAAGAAACTGCAAAGAAAACCACAATTTAAAAACTATAATACACAACACAACAGAATCGAAGCAAATAAAAAAAAAACTAATAAAAACAGGGATTGCAAGACAAAGCATCCTCTCGCAAAAGAGCATACATGTAGACACGACGGGTACATATATAGATAAAGGCAGCATTCGACATTGATCCCGATGCAAATTACGTCAGTTTCGTAACGCATGCACATAAGTAACCCACTCACATACACAAATTGCGTTACTTTAACCCCTCCAACTCTCGTCTCGTTCAATCAGACGCTCGACTGTCTCCGTAAATCTCCGACCAGCAGAAGCTGGTCGGAGATTTGCGGAGACAGCCGAGTGTCTGGATGAACGAGACTACTCGAAAATGGAAGACTATTTTAATTGAATATTTCGAAACCAACACTTTTAACTTAGACTTTTTTAGGGAGGGGTATTTCATGCTTGTTTTCTATAAACTAAAAAACAAATTTGAAAAATATCCTCAGGTAACTACATCTTTGCATTTAAAGTCTAAGATGTACATTTCAGGGGCAAGGGTTTTAAATGAATTTAAAGGTGATGCCATCTAAACCCTTCAGCATCAGGTTTTGATAATTTTAAAGTTAAAACGTGAGCAAAATAGATCAGCGAAAGAAAGAGATGGAAATGCTAAACATGTCTATGAATAACATAAGTGGTAAAAATCAAGATTTAAAAAAAAGTTGAACTCACATCATTTGGATCTTCAGGAGAGGATAAGAGAGAAGCCCTGCTCTTTTGTTTCAGATTTCGGCCAGCAGACTTAAATTTTGGATGGACTTTGTCGTGCGCCTTCAGGGCCTGTATGGTTAACTTTTCACTTGCTTCCATCACTGAAAAATTTCAAATCTCCCCCTGTTTTATGTACATACGTTTTATGTCAGATTTGTAGCACGATTTATATCAACTCGAGTGACCCTACGTGTATCCGATTGTCACATACTTATCCAGATATACCTACCTGGTTTAAAGCCAAAAGTCATAAAAAGAACGATTTTAAGGTAGTTATGGTGAATATAAAGTGCCTCTTAAACTGGAAATCCTGATAAGGAGAGCACGGACCGATAGACTTTCATTCCACTATATGAAAGTTAATAGGTATATAATTGGGGAGTAAATAAGATTTATAACATACCTAGGCGTTTGTAACTGGAGCGACAAAATTGCCATTGATTGAACAAAATAAAGGAACAGTTTTAATATGGAAAGTTAATATATGTGTACTTTTCATTCTAATCTATACATTTTTTTATTATGTATATTTAAACTTGCATTAACTTTTACAAAAAACAAATTAAAACAAACAAAAACCAAAACCAAAAAAAAAAAAAAAAATATGAAGAGAAAACGATTCGTAATCCATTGTTTTCAATGTAATTTTTTAAAAAGTTATTTCAGTCAAATTCAGTAGGATAAATTCACTTGAATGTAATCAATTTTTGTGTCATGTCAACAAACTGGAAGTTGTGGACATTGAGGTAAAATTCTAATTGGGGGGTTTAACTTGTAACCAGTACCTGTTTCAGGCCTGTGTATTTGCTGGGGTTGAGGTAAAATCAATCATATATCGACAGGTAAGGGGGGCGATCAAGTGACTCTCTCGGATTAATAACTTAAAGAGGATACTTAAACGTCTGTTTGACAGAAAACACAAATAATTTTAAATGATTTATATGTGGTCTGTCAGTATGCATATTTTTGATCATGTGATCTTATTTTAAAATGTATATATTAATAAAAAGACCTCTCTTTATCAATCAGAAACGATATACATGTATTTAAAAAAACATAGAGAAAAACTAAATTGTTAAATTATCGATAACGCAGTGCGATTCAAAATATAAAAATAAAACGTATGTCGATCAAGATTTAAAATAAATACGGCTTATGGTCATACATACCATAGGCCGTATGACAGCCTATGGTTTCTTAAGTGCAAGTCAACTCAAAGGTCAAAATTGTTGGTATCCAAAGGACATTGGCGTCGGAAGCAAATTGAAAATGGGGGGGGGGGGGGGTGGGGGTATAAGTAAAGCAAAAAAAAAAAAAATAAAAAAAAAGGAAATGTCCATTTCCCAAACATAAAAATCCTACTTCTTGGGGGGGGGGGGGGGGGGGGGGGGGGTTTAGATTCGAACTTCAGTGCCAAAATTTTTTTCCAAACACCACCACTTTCCCCATTTTTAACCTATACTAAGACATATCTGTGGAAAGTTGGGGGGGGGGGGGCTAATCCTCCGAAGATATGTTCAATGTCTATACTAAGTATATATTTGGAAAAAAAGTGGGGGGGGGGCTAAGCCCCCCCTAGCCCCCCCCCCCCCCCCCCCCCCCCGGTTCCGACGCCTATGAAGGAAGGTCGACACAAAAATACATCTATGATATATGAAAGGCTTCTTACTAACTGTTAAAAACAAGATGTGTTTGTGAAACATTGATGTCCCTTTGTGGCAGCTTCTGGTGAGGGTTGATTTTTCTAAGGTCAAAAGTGTTGGTAAGAAAGGTCTTGTTACAAGCAATACACATGTGAAATATGAAAGCCCTAGTTCTAAATGTGTAAAAGTTATAGCTAAGGTTGAAGTTTTTAAAAAAAATGGGGTCAAACTCTTAGGTCAAGGTTAAAAGTCAAATATTTTCACCAAATGGAAGGTCTTGTCACAATGAATACACATGTGCAGTATAAAAGCCCTAGCTCCATCTGTTCAAAAGTTATGGTGGATTAAAGTGTGACATTTTTTTGTAAATGTAGATCAAACTCTAAGGTCAAGGTCAATAGATCAGAAGCAAGAACTTTAACTTTGCCCATAACTTTTGATTGGTGGTGTTATGACTTTCATATTTCACAGCTATATTCCTTGTGACAAGATCTTTCTTTGGGTACCACTAAATTTGACCTCTTGACCCAATAGTTTGACCCACTTTCACAAAAAATGCTACAGCTTTTGAACAGTTGGTGCAAGGGCTTTTGCACTTCATACATGTATTCAATGTGACAAGACGTTTTTTTAGTGCTTTTAAATATTTTGACCTTGACATTAGAGTTTAACCCTCTTTAAAAAACTCTAATTTTGGCAATAACTTTTGAATAGGTAGTAATACATACTAGGTCTTTCATATTTCACATGTGTATTCCTTGTGACAAGACCTTCCTTTAAATACCAACTATTTCGACCTTGGAGTTTGACTTGCAATTGAGAAACTTCAACCTTTGCCATAAGCTGACTTACGGGGGCATAAGTGTTTCACAAATAAATCTCTTTTAATCAAGTACTGTAATCAACCGACGAATATATCAAATATGTCACTGTGAATCCTACACAGATACTGAAGAACAGCTTTCCATTCTTTTACATAAGCTGTAAATACTAGTAGGCAAGAGACCAGATCACCCATCCCCATCTGATTTCAGATAATGACATAAAATTTCTAATAACAGAACTTCATCATCAAAAGTTATGAGAAATACCAGTAAATTTCTGTAATAATTTAATTTTAAAATAATTCACATTAAGGGAAATTAACAACCAAATCTACATTTCTTAGAAGAAAATCACACATGACATACAATGTACTTGACAAAAATGTCAGATTATTGAACATTTATATAAAGCTTTGGTGATTTTCACAACATTAAATATCCGTTTTTAAAGCAAGCTTGCTGAACAAAAGTTAATTTTATCACAGATGACAGAACATTTTCATAGTACAGAATTAATTTTTAGCTATTTCAAATTTAGTTTATCACTTTCAATGCTGTTTTAGTTATGAATATGTCCAATAGCTTCAAAATGAATAACTGAGATTCAAGCTTTAACATAAATGCTAGCACCAAAAAAGAAAATTCATAAAAACTGACCCAATGAAACTGTTTCATCAAAAACAAGTTTGAATGACCAAAAAATGCATTATTTATCTTAACTCTGTCCTGCAACAATGTGGCAGAAGACATAATATTTAAATTAATCTGCTGTACCATTAACATGAATTAATACTTTTCAAAAGTAACAATCAAGTGTATCAAAAATGATGATTAAAAGCAAAGATTTTTACAATTCCTTCAATAAATTCCAAAGTTTATTACTCTATGTATATATATTCATACATAGGGGGAAATGCACCATCTGATTTAAGCCAATCTGCTAAAACTACTACAACTATCTAAAATAAACACAGGACATCAAATGTCATTCCTATAACAGAGATTCTAGCTGAACACAATACATTGCTATAGTTGAAATACATGACTTGAATAAATAAAAGGTCTACCCCTGCAATACTAATTCAACATTTATAAAAAAAAAAAAAGTCATAAATTGTGGAAGTTGGAAATTTGTAGTGACATTTACATGCAAATAAGACTATTGCCATCTCTAACCTTCATAACCTTCTTTGGTAATTCAGCTTTGATGTTTCTGAATTCTGGATGCATTCTTTCAACAAAGTTATTTTATTTATCTCTAGAGCAGTCTAAGCTCTGGTATACCTCAACCATTTTTAAACAAAATCTCAAATTAAAATTTGAAATTTACAAAAATGCTTTTATCCCATCCCATGCTTTTATCTCCTTGATTGTAAATACCAAACTATGCTTTCATAAGGACATTATTTTATACATCTTTTTACAGGTAGCATTTAATACATGTACAATGAAAAGAAAAATGAAATAACTCAATTTACAGACTTTCTTTCATAAATAAATTATGAAAACTAAATTTGGTTCAAATTTATGAAAACTAAATTTGGTTCAATATTTTCTTAAAACCTTTAAAATTTGGTATAAAAAGGGACACAAAATTAGTTTCATATATTCATAAATCTCTTAACTCTGAGTTTAAACCTCTTTGTATCAAACTATATAATTATGTATATTTTTAAATTGTTAAGAGTCAATTTTGCAGAGAATCCAAAAAAAACTTCCCTGCCATATCTGTTTTTGTACAAAATGAGTTTGACTGTATCTTCTACAGTGACACCTTTTATGCTTTAAATATTAGAAACATTTGTCCACAAACTGGACACCTTTATCAAACTTTAGGGACCAAGACTATTCTTGGGACAAATTAAGTGACTACAATGGCAAGCATATTGCAAGAAAAATATCAAATATTGAAAATATAACATTAAAAAAATGCCTCTGTTTTACATTAACTTTGAAAATCGGTAACAACCTCTAAAACAATAAGACAAACTAAAAGATATATAGCAGGTGGGAAAAAATATTGACATATAAACAATTCAATATAAATGTATATATAAACATGATAAACAAGAATAAATCAATAGAAACAATAAACTGATATAAGAAGTGATATAAAATCATATCAATGCCAATGTAAGTTGGGGTTCTTTTAAATAAAATGAATATCACATATGTAAACGTACACGTCATAAATAAACAGTTATTACAGGTATGTACATTATCTAACACATAAATCACTAAGCTGAGGACTCCTTAAGATTGTCAAAATAATCAGCCAACTGATCAAAAGTCAATCCCATAGCCTCATAATCCCACTTACTGTCAGGGACAGAGTTAGAAGACTGGCTGGCCGTGTCACTGTTACGATGACCATTACTGTTGGCATCTTCTGACAAAGGGTTAGCAGTGATACGAATGCTGCACTCAGATCCTTTGATTGTAGATACAAAGCTGTTACGATTACTGCTGTTGGCACTGTTTCCGCGGCTTGAAGAAGATCTGCTCTGACTGGAAGTAGAACGTAAATGGTTGGTATGGTTTCCATTGAAATCCTCTGCAGGCATCAGAGACTGCGAACACTCGGTCTTTACAGAGCTGCGTTCTAAGGTGGCTCTACCGATCCATACCCAGTCCTTAGCCTGGTAGACAGGTTCCTTGTGATTTCTCTTGTGGATTTTCCTCTTCTTTTTGTGTCTCACCATAAACACTATGCAGTTGATGAGAAACACAGAAATACCAACGCAGAATACAGCAATAAGTACATACATCCCAATCTCTAAGGGAGATAACTTAGATTTGTCGGGACTCTGTAAAGGTTCCTTTCTTGTTGGAGAGTTCACGTTAGACAAGTCCTGAATCTGTGGATTATTTTTGGCAAGGTCTTTTTCCAGTTCATTTAAAACCACAACAGTTTGTGAATTGGGATTTGTATTAGATACTTTCTTGCTCTTTTCATCATGATCTTTGTGACTGCCTTGATGTTTGACAAGTTTATCTAGATCTTTAGGTTTGCGTGGTGCGTAGAAATTGTCATACCTGTCACTGGCCCTGTTGTCCCCAAAGTGACCATCACTGATCAAACGGTCACTCTGAACCTGGTTAGCTTCGGAGAAATCAGCCTCTGTTATTACATATCCAGACGAAAGGGTTGGTATCTTTTTCTTGGGACAGCTTTCCCCTTGTTTTAAAGATACTTTGATGGATTCTGCTCTGCCCTCCGAAACAGCATATATTTTAATTTTAGACAGGTTACTGACAAAATTTCCAATAACTTTTATTAGGAAATGGTTTCTGTTTACCACTTCTAGATAGTAGTCAGTATCTGATACTTTATCCAATGGGAATCTTGTTCCATCACTGAATTCAATATGTATGTCCAATATTCCACTCTGAAAAAAAAAATTAATAATGAAAATAGCAACTTTTTATGGCTATCTCATTGAATATGAAGATGATAACTCAACAATATTTTCAAGGATATATTTGCCAGATATACTGACTGACAAAGAAAACCCCTTAACCTTGCTCTGATCAAAACATTTTGAAAAGGCTTGTATTTTTATCAGACAACCTACCTGCCACTGGGTTTGGAATTTGCTGTAGATGTGGCCTCTAGCTGACCAGGCCCCGGGGATCTCTTTTGAGGGATACACATCTAGAGTGATTCCTGTCACCAGGTTGACAATAAGTCTTTCTATCTCGACTTTGTCATTACCAACCCGAACAACTCGAGCTGCTAGTACTCTTCCATTGGCTGATGTTACCTTTTAAAAGATAAGTGACCAACTTAAACTACATCATTGCCACAAGTTTTTCATTGATCTTTCCATTTCCTCAACTTTGCTCATAAGTACTGGAATGTTTTCAGAACAAATCAATCTTTCCAAATGATCTTATATTTGCTAACAAGTTTTTCTAAAAATTATTCAATCGTATAATCTGCTTGAAATATCTTTTGAAATATTCACTTCACAAAAACTTTCTTTACTGAACCTTACCTGGATTTCAGTTAAGCCTGGACTCTGACCCTGAAGGACCTTATTCTCCAAGTTGACAATTCTTGGGTCAGCTACTCGTAACTGATTCTCCATCAGGTCTGTAATTTTCAGGGCAGCTTGTCTGTTGACAAAGTAATCATAGCCTGCTGGTGTAGCTATGTAGAACTTGGCGTACACATCAACCAAGGCCTGCTGAAGACGTAGCTGACAGCTCTTGCCATACTGTTTGTATTTCTTACTGAGGATGACACTGGGGTGAGTAAGCATCCCTAGATCTACAACTCGCTTCTGTCTTGATCTGATAAAATTCAAAATATTAATATCAAATGAAGCACCTGATATATAAAGCTTTGTTTGACTTCAGTCAATAAAACTTTTTAAATTTGCGAGGAGAGTAAAAAACCTAAACATAAAAACAAGTAAAAAGACAGTGACAAGAAACTCAACTGGAATGAGTGAAGTCCAAACAAAAGGAAAAGATTTGTAAAGAATTTTAATTCAAGTTTATGAAACACTTTCAGGTAAAGAACAACAATATAATGAACATTCAAAATAAGTATTTTTAGACTTGGAAATATTACCTCCTTTTGCTTCTGACTGAGCCAACTTTCCAGGAACGAATTCTGCTGAGTTTACTGTCAGAAACTTGAATATCTAGAGGGTTCATAGGAATCCAGACCTTAACATTGGTAAAGGCAGTGTGCTGGCCTGATTTGGTTATAATGGTTACATTGTGTGAGCCTCGACTTTCGGACCCATTGACATAGATGTACGAACAGTCCGGAGCCACCTAAAAGAAACAATTATTCCTTTAAAAATAAATATTTGCATTGAGAAGAAAATATTCCAAGTTTGAAAAAAATACTTGATAAAATCATCTACTTTTTTATTTATTGACGTTTTTAAGAAAACTATGGTGTTGATATCAGTAAATATAAATGAAAAGGTATTGCTGTACATAACAAACCTTTAACACATCAGTCTGCTTTGAGTGACAAGCAGCATGTCCCACTGCATTGAATAGGGAATCGGAGTCTCTCACTAGATACACATGTAGTGGATAGCTCTGTGTTTTACCCGTTAACATTGCAAAATTCAAAATTTCATCCACCTGGAAAAAAATTGTTGACAATTGTTCTTATTTCGGTATTAGAATAAAACACCTCAAACATTGCAAGATCAATATAAGTTTTCCAAAATATACAACAATCAAAATTTGTTTTCTAAACGTATTTTAAGAACCAGAAGTCTCTGTCGAGACTGAAGCTCTACTGGTTTGAACTTATAGCAAAGGAAGAGAAAAGTACTTAAGCAGTTGGAAATTGAAACTTTTCAACAGCAATAAATAGAATAATGATCCTTGATTAAGTCTCTTTATGTTCTTAGTGCAGTCTACTTGCATGCCACATTTATATTATAATCAGACTAAAATTGTATTTGGAGTAGCATTTTGAAAGAATTTCAAAGAAATGTCTATTTTTAGTAACCACGGCAACACCTTTCATCGAAATCAAAAACTGATATACAGAATTATGTATCTTATTGTAGTCTACTTGTGTGCCAAGTTATATTGAAATCAGACTAAAACTGTAGAAGGAGTAGCATTTTGAAAGAATTTCACAGAAATTTTTATTTTTAGTAACCACAGCAACACCAATCATCGAAATCAAAAACTGATACATAGAATTATGTATCTTATTGTAGTCTACTTGTGTGCCAAGTTATATTGAAATCAGACTAAAACTGTAGAAGGAGTAGCATTTTGAAAGAATTTCACAGAAATTTCTATTTTTGGTAACCACGGCAACACCGTTTATCATAATCAAAAACCGATTCACAGAATTGTGTATCTTAATGTAGTCTACTTGTGTGCCAAGTTATATTGAAATCAGACTAAAACTGTAGGAGGAGTAGCATTTTGAAAGAATTTCACAGAAATTTCTATTTTTAGTAACCACGGCAACACCGTTCATCGAAATCAAAAACCGATATACAGAATTATGTATCTTAGTGTAGTCTACTTGTGTGCCAAGTTATATTGAAATCAGACCAAAACTGTAGGAGGAGTAGCATTTTGAAAAATTGTTTACAGACAGACAGACAGACAGAGAGACGGACGGACGGCGGACGCATTACTATCGCATAAGCTCTTCTGGTCTCTGACCAGTAGAGCTAAAAATGTGCTTATGACAATACTTTTTCGGGTAAAAATATTACAGTGTCCTGTGTTTAAATGTATTTATTATACCTCTACTGATTTTTCACTATATCAAAAACATAGGTAATCAGAGATTACAGAGCTCACCTCAACGAATGTTGTCTTTAAGTAAGGCAAAGTCACACAATTAACCAACAAAAAGTATACATTCCAAAAATGAAAATATTTTTAAAAGCAATTTTGATCTGATACTTTGAAATAGACCTACATAAAAAATTTAAACTACTTCTTCTTCATGAAAATGTAATGAAAATCCAGCATCTGAAGCAAATTTGAGAGTTTTCATCTCTTGATGCAGCATTTGTGCAAGTTTGGTTTATACAATGTTATATAAGCCTTATAGTTTTTGGTAATAGACCTGCAACCATAACTTTTACCTTGTCTATTATCTGAAAAATGTATGTCCAATTCAGCATCCGAAGCAAGTCCATTAGTGTGCATCCTTAGATGTATCATCCATGCAAGTTTGCTCATTATAGGGCTCATAGTTTATTGGAAATGAAACATGCATCAAAACTAACATTTTCACTCATCCACAAAAAGTAGGTCAGATTCAGCATCCGAAGCAAGCCTGGAAGTATGCATCCTTAGATGTATCATCTATGCAAGATTGGTCATTAAAGAACTCATAGTTCCTTGGAAATGAAACCTGCACCAAAAACTTTTAACTATTCACTCAACCGGAAAATGTAGGTCAGATTCAGCATCCGAAGCAAGCCTGGTAGTGTGCATCCTTACATGTATCATCCATGCAAGTTTGGTCAAAATAGGGCTTAAAGTTACTTGCAAATGAAACCTGCACCAAAAACATTAACCCGTTCGCTCAACTGGAAAATGTAGGTCAGATTCAGCATCCGAAGCAAGCCCGGTAGTATGCATCCTTAGATGTATCATCCATGCAAGTTTGGTCAACATAGGGCTTATAGTTACTTTGAAATGAAACCTGCACCAAAAACTTTAACCTGTTCATTCAACTGGAAAATGTAGGTCAGATTCAGCATCCGAAGCAAGCCCGGTAGTATGCATCCTTAGATGTATCATCCATGCAAGTTTGGTCAACATAGGGCTTACAGTTACTTGGAAATGAAATCTGCACCAAAAACTTTAACCTGTTCACTCAACCGGAAAATGTAGGTCAGATTCAGCATCCTAAGCAAGCCCGGTAGTATGCATCCTTAGATGTATCATCCATGCAAGTTTGGTCAACATAGGGCTTATAGTTACTTGGAAATGAAACCTGCACCAAAAACTTTAACCTGTTCACTCTACCGGAAAATGTAGGTCAGATTCAGCATCCAAAGCAAGCCCGGTAGTATGCATCCTTAGATGTATCATCCATGCAAGTTTGGTCAACATAGGGCTTATAGTTACTTGGAAATGAAACCTACACCAAAAACTTTAACCTGTTCACTCAACCGGAAAATGTAGGTCAGATTCAGCATCCGAAGCAAGCCTGGTAGTGTGCATCCTTAGATGTATCATCCATGCAAGTTTGGTCAACATAGGGCTTAAAGTTACTTGGAAATGAAACCTGCACCAAAAACATTAACCTGTTCGCTCAACTGGAAAATGTAGGTCAGATTCAGCATCCGAAGCAAGCCCGGTAGTATGCATCCTTAGATGTATCATCCATGCAAGTTTGGTCAACATAGGGCTTATAGTTACTTGCAAATGAAACCTGCACCAAAAACTTTAACCTGTTCATTCAACTGGAAAATGTAGGTCAGATTCAGCATCCGAAGCAAGCCCGGTAGTATGCATCCTTAGATGTATCATCCATGCAAGTTTGGTCAACATAGGGCTTATAGTTACTTGGAAATGAAACCTGCACCAAAAACTTTAACCTGTTCACTCAACCGGAAAATGTAGGTCAGATTCAGCATCCGAAACAAGCCCGGTAGTATGCATCCTTAGATGTATCATCCATGCAAGTTTGGTCAACATAGGGCTTATAGTTACTTGGAAATGAAACCTGCACCAAAAACTTTAACCTGTTCACTCAACCGGAAAATGTAGGTCAGATTCAGCATCCGAAGCAAGCCCGGTAGTATGCATCCTTAGATGTATCATCCATGCAAGTTTGGTCAACATAGGGCTTATAGTTAATTGGAAATGAAACCTACACCAAAAACTTTAACCTGTTCACTCAACCGGAAAATGTAGGTCAGATTCAGCATCCGAAGCAAGCCCGGTAGTATGCATCCTTAGATGTATCATCCATGCAAGTTTGGTCAACATAGGGCTTATAGTTACTTGGAAATGAAACCCACACCAAAAACTGCACCAAAAATGTTAACCTGCTCCAAAAACATTAACGTGGTAATTCCTTTGCTGAAATTGCAGCATCTGAAACTTTGTCTGGTACAATAAAACACACTAAAACCATCTTCCATGCATGTCTAATCAATATAGGACACAGAAGTAATCAAAAAGAAAACTGCTCCAAAAAACTTAACCTTAACCTGGGACGCCGACGCCGAGGGTATCACATAAGCTCCCCCCCAACTTCGTTGAGGTGAGCTAATAAATCGATATATTTTCAGGGCTCTAGATTCTCTTAATCTGGGGCCGATATTCGGCCCCGTTCCCAATGCAAAACATAGGTAATCACAGATTACAGAGCTCACCTCAACGAATGTTGTCTTTAAGTAAGGCAAATTAAGTCACATAATTAACCAACAAAAAGTGTACATCCAAAAATGCAAAATTTATGCAATTTTGATAATTTGGAATAGACCTATATAAAAACTTAAAACTAGTTCTTCATCATGAAAATGTAATTAAAATCCAGCATCTGAAGCAAGATTGAGAGTTTTCATCCCTTGATGCATCATTTGTGCAATTTTGGTTTATATAAGCCTTATAGTTTCTTGGTGATAGACCTGCACCCATAACTTTTACGAGATCTATTACCTGGAAAATGTATGTCGAATTCAGCATCTGAAGCAAGTCCATTAGTGTGCATCCTAAGATGTATCATCCATGCAAGTCTGTTCAACATAGAGCTCAAAGTTACTTGGAAATGAATCCCTGTATAAAAAACTAACCTTTTCACTAATCCGGAAAATGTAGGTCAGATTCAGCTTCTGAAGCCAGCCTAGTAGAATGCACCCTTAGATGTACCATCCAAGCAAGTTTGGTCATTATAGGGCTCAAAGTTACTTGGAAATGAATCCTGCACCATAAACTTTAGCCTGTTTACTCATCCAGAAAATGTAGGTCAGATTCAGCATCTGAAGCAAGTCTGGTAGTATGCATCCAAAGATGTACCATCCAGGCAAGTTTAGCCATTATAGGGTTTATAGTACCTTGGAAATGAAACCTGCACCAAAAATTTTAACCTGTTCACTCAACCGGAAAATGTAGGTCAGATTTAGCATCCGAAGCAAGTCTTGTAATATGCATCCTAAGATGTACCATCCATGCAAGTTTGGTCATTATATGTCTCATAGTAACTTGGAAATAAAACCTGTACTAAAAACTTTAACCTGTTCACTCAACCGGAAAATGTAGGTCAGATTCAGCATCCGAAGCAAGACTGGTAGTATGCATCCTAAGATGTACCATCCATGCAAGTTTGGTCATTATATGTCTCATAGAAACTTGGAAATGAAACCTGCACCAAAAACTTTAACCTGTTCACTCAACCAGAAAATGTAGGTCAGATTCAGCATCTGAAGCAAGTCTGGTAGTATGCATCCAAAGATGTACCATCCAGGCAAGTTTAGCCATTATAGGGTTTATAGTACCTTGGAAATGAAACCTGCACCAAAAATTTTAACCTGTTCACTCAACCGGAAAATGTAGGTCAGATTTAGCATCCGAAGCAAGTCTTGTAATATGCATCCTAAGATGTACCATCCATGCAAGTTTGGTCATTATATGTCTCATAGTAACTTGGAAATAAAACCTGTACTAAAAACTTTAACCTGTTCACTCAACCGGAAAATGTAGGTCAGATTTAGCATCCGAAGCAAGTCTTGTAATATGCATCCTAAGATGTACCATCCATGCAAGTTTGGTCATTATATGTCTCATAGTAACTTGGAAATAAAACCTGTACTAAAAACTTTAACCTGTTCACTCAACCGGAAAATGTAGGTCAGATTCAGCATCCGAAGCAAGACTGGTAGTATGCATCCTAAGATGTACCATCCATGCAAGTTTGGTCATTATATGTCTCATAGAAACTTGGAAATGAAACCTGCACCAAAAACTTTAACCTGTTCACTCAACCAGAAAATGTAGGTCAGATTCAGCATCCGAAGCAAGTCTAGTAGAATGCATCCTAAGATGTACCATCCATGCAAGTTTGGTCATTATAGGGCTCATAGTATCTTCGAAATGAAACCTGCACCAAAAACTTTAACCTGTTCACTCAACCGGAAAAAGTAGGTCAGATTCAGCATCCGAAGCAAGTCTGGTAGTATGCATCCTAAGATGTACCATCCATGTAAGTTTTGTCAACACAGGGCTTATAGTTACTCGGAAATGAGACCTACACCAAAGACTGCACCAAAAATGTTAACCTGCACCAAAAACATTAACCTGGTCATTCCTTTGCTGAAATTGCAGCATCTGAAACTTTGACTGGTACAATGAAACACATTAGAAACATCTTCCATGCATGTCTAATCAATATAGGGCATAGAAGTACTTAAAAAGAAAACTGCTCCAAAAAACTTAACCTTAACCCGGGACGCCGACGCCGAGGGTATCACATAAGCTCCCCCCAACTTCGTTGAGGTGAGCTAAAAAGCTACCTTTTTTCCCAAAAGAAAGGTGTAAATTTCCCAATTTCCATAGCAAAATATTAATTAAAAAATAAAATTCCATGAAACTTGATTGCAAAATAAACCCAAAACAATTGTAAATGAAAGTGAAACAAACTAGTTCTATGTATGACTATTAATTACTTCGCGCCAAGTGCAGCCGTAAACTGGTTCGGGGAACCAGGTTAGTGTTATTACAGAAATGTATAACTATGATTGCAGAGTATCTTGTCATGAAAATCGACAAAAAACGTCATTTTCAGTTTTCAAAAATATAGACATTTCATTTAAACATTAGTAAGCTGCACCTAGAAACATGTCCAAGATTCAGCATGTTCAGTCTCGCGCTGCATTGGTAAGCAACGATGATCATCTAATCGAGGAAATTCGGGACTATGTGACAAGCGACTGTCACTCAGAAAGACATATAACCGTAATATCAACACTCAAAGATAGTTATGAAAAAGCTGATGTACTTTCATAAATTGCCTACGTAACCATGTTTGTTCTGTTTAACTGTTTATTCAATACTAGAGGTAAATTGATGACAAAATGCTAGAAAAGCAAAATTTGAGAATTTTTTTAATGAATGTTGGTCATCCAACTTTTCCCAAATGACGATAATTTTCCCAATTTGAATGGCCCTGGCCCCAGTCCCAAAAAGTGGTGTGAGAGCCCTGATTTTGCTGATTTCCTGAAAATCACCGTGAATAAACCAATTACCTGCAAAACAGACTGATTCCCTGCAAAAAAAGTACGTTTTTTTGATGAACTGATACACACCTATTCGGAACACTCAGCATTTTCTTTCAACTTACGACAAACTTAGAAATGTTCCGAATAAACTTATGAATATTCATTAATGAATCGAAATGCATCGCGAGTCAACTGGTCCCATATCAATCAGAAAGAACCAGTTTACTGGTAGCAAATGACAACAGAAATGGCGATCTCAAGATTTGCGTAATGTTACTTTCCATTTTACTAGGTAAAAACTCGGACAATGAACTGATTTATTGATAAAATGGAATTCTATTCATGTCTGTATTCTGTTTTGTTGTTATTTTTTTTTTATTTCTGTTGGAATTAAACATTGTTACAGAATACAGTATTGAATATAACTTTTTCAAATGTCTTGTTTGTATCGGTATAATAAAACAGTTAAAGTATATCACTGAGGGAGTCAGCAAGATTCCAGTTCCCCTCGAGAAAGCCTATTTCCCTCAGCGCAAGCGCCTCGGGAAATAGACTTACTCTTGGGGAACTGGAATCTTGCTGACTCCCTCAGTGATATACTTTAACTGTATAATGATTACTGTAACAAAATATAGGCCATAAAATGAAGAATTTACTCATCTTCAGTATAGATTAGTTTTATTAACATTTGAGTGTACCTTTAGAACAGTGACCAGCCTTGCATTCTCTTTGTCCCTGAGGTTAATCTTTGATATCACTTGGCTCTCTGAGGGAAGGTACCTCTCTCCTCTACTATCTTTCTCATATTTGATGCTCCAAACCACCCTTCCCGCCTCTATATTCCTAACTGACGGCTCCACTTGTAACCTCCAAGCAAACACATCCTGAACTCTGTAAAAAAAAACTATAATCATGAATAATAAATTCAGTAAAAAATTATCTTTTTGGGGGAGGTTGCAGAAGGCACAACTGTGCTTTTTTTCTATAATTGGTGGCAAGAACTTAAGGGTGAACGTTGGTCAACTGCATTAGCAACTAAATATTGATGAATTTGTGTTCTGGACAATTCACAACATTTGCAGAAGTGCTTGAAATCAGAAAACTGTAGGATGAGTAGTGTTTTGAAAGTGTTTCACAGAAATTTCTATTCATAGCAACTATTGCATTATTGCATCACCTATCATCAAAATGGAAATATGTTAAGTAAAATTATGTTTTTTGGTGTAATCTTCTCATATGCCAAGTAATATTGAAATCAGACCAAAACTGTAGGGAGTAGCTTACTGAATTTGAAATGCATATTTTAAGTAACTTTGGCAACATCACTCATCAAAATCAAAAATAAGTAATTATTTTTATCTTAGTATTATCTACCTGTGTGCCAAGATACATTCAAATCAGACCATATGACAACTGTAGGAGGAGTAGCATTCTAAATGTGTTTTATTGAATTGTCTATATTTTTAGTAACTTTGACAATACCATTCAAGCATACATGTTAACCTATTGTGATGAAAAATAGGGAGAATCAGACCTCAAAAGCGGTAGCATTGCGCGCGCGTTGTTTTACGCTTGGATCATCGATATATTTCATGTAATATACATGAATGTGTAGCCTTAAATGAAACCTACAATAATTAATCTTAAATATCAACTGCACTTTAAAGAAGAAGACAGAAACACCTTAAGTTTGACATAAATTGTACAAATTCAAATATTTTTCATGCTCATCATTTTGCTTGGATTGGCTGTTTAACTTAGCCTTTTGAAGAGTGATCTTTGCTGATATATCCTAGAAGCAATAATTCTGAATGTTCAATCAGTTGTTAAACAAAACAAATGATGACATGGTTTAAACTAGATCTAAAACAAGTTCCTATCTTTCGTTATATAAATCAGATTTCCCGCGATGATCGAAAACGAAAGTAGAGATGTGCCACATGGCTTGGTCAATCGAGTGATTTCTATTGACTTTATTGATAACATTGTGAGCTCCTGTGCTTTTGTAGACGATGTCAAATGTTTTCATCTAAGTCTTAAAAGCTGTATCTCCTTTTTTATGGCAGTGATGTTGACTAAATTTATCGTAACCAATGTAATCACTGGTAATCTTGTGCTGTTGTTGTTGTCAAATTCGTGCTTGAAATCTATGTACACATTGATACTAAAAAAGCGTTTGTGTGCTTCCAAGTCAAATCACGCGAGATCTAACGAGATTTTATGAAAGTGGCTTCAAAAATGGATACCCAAGCGAACCAAAAATACTTTAGACGCAACTTTGTAGAAAAGCGGTAGATTTCTTAATTGAATCGGTAGGCGGGAGATGGAGTGAAAAAGCGGTAGATTCCCACCTAAATCGGTAGAGTTAACATGTATGATTCAACAAAATAAAAAAAAAATAATCATGGAATTATGTATCTTAGTGAAATCTACTTCTGTGCCAAGTTATACATATTATGTATTAAAATCAGACCAAAACTGTAGGAGAAGTATGGTTTTTAAAAATTGTAGGATATCCACTCAGAGATACTGGTACTTCATTTGGGAATACATGTATACTTCAACATGTTCAATGTTTGAAACTTCTTGTATTTCTTAATATATTATGTTTTCTTACACATTAGAAACTCTATAGTTCAGTGGATCTTTGAGATAAGCTGTTACAGTGGCTGCCTTTTCATTTTCATCTATGTCCACATGAACTTGCCATGGACTATTCTGATCTGCCTCTGCTCCAATAATCATTAGTCCCTGTCTCACTCGAGCACTGCATAATAAAATTTAACAGATCATTAAATTATTGAATGACACCTTCCAATATTGACAATGAAACCTCTATGGAATTCAATGTCATTTACCTATCCTTTCAATTATACAATATTGCAATTTCCGTATGTATTCGCAAGAGTAGAAATAGAATCCAAATTTACCTGCATGTATCCAGCTAACATACAGCATAAAACAACATGTACAGAATGATTTTTTTATACTTAATAATTTTACAACAAATGTCTGAAAGTGTATTTTACCTCATTACAAGATTTCTCATGTCAGACCCTGCATCAAATTTCACTGGGACTTCAAAAACTGTGCCTGGATCAAATGCATTGGTTGGAACATCAATCAATATATCCTCCTCTCTCTCCCTGTAAAAACCTTTCACATCTTTAGACAACACAATGTCTGCTAGAAACCGCCTACTGCTTATGACAGGTTTCTCAAACAACCTTCCTGGCACGATAGAGTTTGATGCACTGGCACACTCCTGGTTTTCTCCCTTCTGAGAAAATGCATAGTACACTTGCACTGTAGAGTTTTCATGCCACCATGATGTGGGAAACATAATACCATTGACACAAGCACTGTCCCCTGTTCCGAGAACACAGATGGAGGACAGTTCCTCCTTGTCATGTTGGACAAACACGTGGCCACAGAGCCCATCAACAGCCAGCTTAGAGGGATCTGTTTCTTTGGCGGGGCGGTCCCACTTCCTGCTGTTTATGTGAGGACTGGCATAAATCAGAACTTGAAGTCGGGGATATTTTGGAGAAAGGCTGTTTGTGACCACTTTTGCTGAAACATCCATCCCAAACACAGTGCCATGATGTATCGGTTTGTCCACATGGTCAAGGTTTGGGTAGATGCTGGATATATCCTGAGGAATCACTTGCTCCTTTTCATAAGGACCACTCCTTACTCCTAACACATAACCCTCAGAGGGCCTCGTGACTACAAAATCCTCCTTCCGAGTCAAAGGATCCCACGACTGTTTTTTATGATATATTGGTTTCAAGAAATATCCATCATTTGGATCACTGAAGTAAATTTCTAAACCTAAGGAAAGTCCTGAAAATAAACAGAAGATGTATTCAAATCTCTAGATCTTGTTCAAGAACATTCAATAAGTTCTTTATTTATACCATGACCTGTCTGTATTCATATCTGGCAGACTGGCACAGGCATAAAAAAATTAAACTTATAGCCTGAAAATCTCAGCTATCTCATAGCTATGCAAGTATTTTAACCAATGTATCCAAATATGATGACCCCCCCCCCCTCCCCCTTTGTTTTCATGGAATATATCCTTAATTATAATTAAGAATGAAAACATCTACATACATCTTCAAAGTATTTTTCTGCATGTCAGTATTTGCTGAAATTTTCAGTTTTATCAGAATTATAAAATAAAATTATGCATTAAAGAATTCAATTGATTTCTTTTCCCAACAAGTCTATACTCTTCATATCAATGAACTAACAAAAACATGGAATTTTTAATAAATTTCAAACATGCAAATTGTCATTTTAAATCTTTAAAATATCAGTATATTAATAATGATATTTCTTTTGAAGTAAATAATCAATGTTAAACTTTATTACTGAACTTTTCTCAAAGATAACAATTTTTTCATTCACTGCACAGTTGTTTTTTTTTGGGGGGGGGGGGGGGGGGGAATTCATTATTTGTTATTTGGGGAAAATAATGTTAAACTTTGGCAAATATTGAAATATTGATTACAGTTATTCATTAAAAGGCATTCTCTTTATACAAATTTAATCAAGTATATAACTTTTTATATGTATGATATTAATGGTCTTAATCATGTTAACGATATTGAATGAGTTATTAATAGGAGGAGGGTTGAGGTTTTCTTGCAATTTTTACAGCACATAAGTAACTTGAAACTGCAGTGGGAAATCAGGAAATTATCTTGGTATAATCGATGAATTATACATACAGGGTAATAGCCAGAAATGTAAATGAAATGTAAATACTTCTAATAGATCAATATATCATTTTCTTCTTCAGAAAACAAGTTTTGTGCTACTGCATTTTCTCCTCATTACAAAAGTAAACAGTGTGCCTTTTAAAATTGTTTTTGATACTGAATGAAATCAGTAGTTAAAGGGAAATTACACATGCTGACCGATTGATCAATGCTTGAAGTTGGAAAAGCGGAAAAAAGTTATACATCAAAATATTGATCAATACCAACTTCTATATAAAATACTAGGTTATCCATTTCAAAGTACCGGCTTGTAGAAAGAATTTACAAAACCCTAAATAAAGAGCTTTGAAGTTTCTATTTGGCTATCAAATAAACACTACAGGCATGCGACTGTAATACATTCTGCTTCAATACCCTCCCAGGTGACTTGCATTTTCTTTACATACTGTGTGATGTAAAAAGTGAAATATCACCCACTCTAGGGCCCTGTCAACTAATGTTTAATTTAAATTTCTAAATTCTAATTGGTGCATTAGGTAATGATGATCTGCAATAAGATGAACTACATTGAGAAGAACATGAACTGATATAAGATCCGCCAACAACACTGCAAAACCTTGTATACATCAATGTATGTAAAAAGATCAAAGGGATTTTATATGTCCTGTCTTTTAGAATGCGATAAATCTGATCTCCAACTAGTCCAAGCAATAAATAATGTGACAAGATGAAAAATTTTACATGTAAATGTGTATTTGATGACGATTTTAGATGTAAATTAACATTTATTTTGATAAATAAGATCTTACCAGAACACAACACATATATTACAGAGATGTGAATGTAAATCCAAGCCATTATCTTCCCAAGGCATAGAATTTTCGCCCTACATCAGTTCATACAACAACGGAATATTCCATATTTCCGAAGCGGATCCCCCATTTTTTAGCCTGTTGCTTTCGCAGTCTGCCAAAAAGTATCCATCATTTTGGTGCCTATTCCTCCATTTTCACTGAAATTACCTTCTATAGAAAAGTAGTTCGTGTAATAATAAAGTTCTGTAAAGCTGTTTTTCAAAAAGTACTCATAATAGAACGATAAGATTAGTAAAACGTATTTTGATTCACATAAAATTACCTAAATTTTTATTTTCATTAGATGTAATCATCAAGTAACATGCACTATATTATCTCTTTTGATATTCTTCCGCCATTAATAAATATTTTACTCAATGCCAGGGGAGGATCTAAACATTTTTATCAAGCGAAAAATATTTATGACAGTTATTTTACGAACAATAAAAGGAAATGGGTGGTGCGTATCTTCAAGCTAATATCAAGAATTTTCCGGAAATAAAAAAAAATAGAGTTAGTCATTATTGCTTTCATCCTATTGAAATTCTATGTTTAGCATGGTTTAGATCCGCTCGCACTACTCCACTGGTATAGCGAGTGTGCGGGTGGATCTTACATCTAATTTAATCAGATTGTCATTGCTTACTCTGAAAACTATTTAGAATAATCTAACTATTTTCAGGACAGGCCCTCACTACCGGGTCCGTAGGATCATTTTACACAGTTGTTTTAACGATGAACGCATTCTGTAACTCTAAACGCCAAATAAAGATAACCAAATTTTTCGAACAGCTACATGGAGGTTGAAATAAAACAATATTGATATACAATATGACTAAAATCTGATCCTTTGAACAAAGGATCATATTTTAATCAGACTGTATTGGTCTGTTATTAAATGCTGATTTTAAAATCTGTTCTGAGAAAAGAGTCTTCTAGTAGGCTAGATGACATGAGCTATAATTATTATGTAGTATGGAAAGGAGGAATGAGTAAACATACATTGAAAATTCATAAATACATATATATTGAAAACATATGGCTGGACCGGGAATCGAACCCGGGACCTCTGTATTTCTAGTCAGGTGCTCTAACCACTGAGCTATCCAGGCCGATGTCCTCAGTCCAGCCTAATTTCCTACATTCCCCCTTCCTTAAATAGTCTTCGACCCCGAAGACACAACTCAAGTTCACCTTGTCAGGACTTAACATTAGTAATTATACATTGCCTGAACAAGGTAGGCCACGGCACCATCTGTAGTATGGAAAGGAGGAATGAGTAAACATACATTGAAAATTCATAAATACATATATATTGAAAACATATGGCTGGACCGGGAATCGAACCCGGGACCCCTGTATTTCTAGTCAGGTGCTCTAACCACTGAGCTATCCAGGCCGATGTCCTCAGTCCAGCCTAATTTCCTACAATTAATTATGTACATGGAATGTATGGTACTGCTTTTTTGGAAAAGTAATGTTGACCGAAATTTCTTCATTCTGTGGAATATATCCAGGGACGTAGCAACAGGGGTGGGGGGCCCCCTCTTTTTTCCCAGCATTACCTTTACTGTTGAAAATGTTCATTGAAAGGTTGGTTGCCCCCTCCCCCCCCCCCACTTCTTACCACAGTATAGTGATATGAAGAAAATGTAGTATTGTATGCAAAAAAATTGGAAGTAAAAAAGAAGTTGGCCTCCCCCCCCCCCCCACTTTTTTCCCAACATTACCTTTACTATTGAAAATGTTCATTGAAAGGTTGGTCCCCCCCCCATTTCTTACCACAGTATAGTGATATGAAGGAAATGTAGTATTGTATGCAAAAAAAATTGGAAGTAAAAAAGAAGTTGGCCTCGCAAAAAGTTGGCCTGCCCCCCTTTTTTTTCCCAAAATTAAATTTTCTTTTTAAAATTTGGCAACTACCCCCCCCCCCCCCCCACCACACACACACACACACGAAATAGGATTTTGGAGTTTGAGCAGTCTCCCTGTTTGTTTTTTTTTTTGCTTGTCAACTTAAACAGGTCAGTAAAATAATTTTTTTTGGTTCCCCCCCCCCCACTTTCAAAAACGATGCTACGTGTCACTGATATTTGCACTTTCTTTACAGTTTTTAAGAATTCGATATTTTAACGGTACAATTTTCTGTTGAAAGGCCAAAGGGGGGTGTTATCAAGGGACTGATCATTGTTTACTTTTAAAATAATTTCAAATAAGCATTTTTCATTAAAAATACGTAACTAGTGTAAAATTTATACTGTCATAATAGAAAAAGGAACTCCCATCTTTTTTTTTAAGCATTATTTTTTATCGAAAATGAAATCTTTACGTACGCCAGGTGCCCGTATGTCATTTGAAAAATTGATCTGACAACTACAGTACTGTAGATGAACGGCAAGCTCTGACAAGATCCCAAACCAAACTGTATACATCAGTGGCATTTGCCCTTTCATTTGAGCTTACAACACCCTAGATCTAAGAGTCAAAATGGTAGGTTTAGAGTTAAAAAGAAACAAAAAGATATGGGTTTTAAAACGATGATGGAGAAAATACCGGTATAAATATTTCTATACATGTACAGTTGGCCCACTGGCATCTGTATCTGGAATGTACAGTACAAATGTGATCTTTTTACCGTCTAGTAAAGCCTTAAGGTTTTTAAGTCTCTTTTAAAGGTGACTGAAATACAGATACAGTTATATATAGGTATCTAATTTGCGATTCTTACACTTTGTCCAACATCGTGCAACATTTCCAAAGTCGTCTGCTACCTGAATCCGTGCACTTCTGAGACCGGAAATTAGTAAAGTAGATTAATTTTAGAAAAAATCAGAAACGAAAAACCGGTTTAATGGTTTTTCCACACCAAACATATTTATTCACTATCTAAATAAAAAATGGAACAAGTTAATTGATGCAAAGCATCAAATCGGCCGCTAACATATTTAAGATGTCAAAAAAAGTACTTTCACAATTCAAAGCATTCATGCAAGAAAAGAACAGGATATTCAAAGCTGAAACAGTGATCATTTTTATTTCAGGCCGTCTTCAAAGCAACATAAATAAATAAATATTTTTAAAAAATTGATAGAAATTTTAGCATCATGCCTAGCTGCTGTTCAACCGAATTCAATGAATAAAATATATTTTAAACTAGAAATTTTAGTGCATTTGCTCATCCAATGGATTTATCGATGTAAAAAAGTCTAAATATGCATGGGTGTCGGAAGCAAATAAAAAGTGGGGTGAGGGTGGGGGTGAGCTAATTAAAAGGGGGGGGGGGGCTAACCAACAAAAAATTGTAAAGCCCATTTTCA